AACTAGAAGCGAAACAACAAGAAGGGTTCAGTTTACGGGTTTTGGCTATTTTCTATTCACACCGCGAATAACCTCCTACTCCGCAGTTAATTACTGAGAAATATAAAAGAAGTGCCACCAAACTTAAAATATGAGAATTCTGTGAGGAAAACATCAACTGCATACTTGATCTGGAAATTCTGTACACCTTTCACCATGAAGACAAATGAGTGCTGATTATAAAATACTGTTGCATTGGCCCTCCTAATACAGTTTTCTCTGTTTATGGAAGTACTTTAGTCATCTGCTCATATCCGTGGGATTCTGAAGCTTACTTACGCTTAAGCAATGTTTGAAGATGAAGTTTAAAGCACTGCCTATGAAACAGACCACCGGAGGAGAGAAATTGAAAGAGTTGAGCCATATTTCATATTTAAGGGAGCCAGTTTGGTGTCAGGCTAGAAAAAATGGCATTGGATATCAGGCTACAAATAGGGAGACTGTGTGCTAGTTCTATCTGGGGCATGAAGTCAGCTGAGTGGATTTGGGCCAATTGTCCCAAACATGTGGTATTCAGCTGGTTTGGACTAGTTCACTCGAACCGGTAGCGGAAATCATGGGTGGGCTCACCCCAAAATCTGGCTCGAAAGCTCAATTAACAGCTCATATTTAGGTAACAATGGCTCAGTGGTTAAAAGACACTGAGCTTGTCAATGGAAAGCTTACAACCCATGTTTGAGACCCAAGCACCGTGTGACGGAGTGAGTTCCCATTATTTTCCTCACCTCCTGCCAACCTAGCAGTTCGAAAGCATGCAAATGCGAGTAGATAAATAGGTACCACTTCGGTGGAAAGTAACAGCGTTCCATGCACCTTTGGCATATAGCCATGCTGGCCACATTATCACAAATACATCTTCAGACAATGCTGGAAATGGAGATTAGCATTGCCCCCTAGAATTGAACAAGGGAAAACCTTTACTTTTTCTTAGGTCACGAAATTAGCAATCCTCATTTCTTTTCATGGGTCTTTACCAGTGGTGAAATCCATTTTTTTTTATTACCGGTTCTGTGGGCATGGCTTGGTGTGACTTGGTGGGCGTGGTCTGGTGGGCATGGCAGAGGAAGGATACTGCAAAATCTCCATTCCCTCCCCACACCAGGGGAAGGATACTGCAAAATCCCCATTCCCTCCCCACTCTGGGGCCAGCCAGAGGTGGTATTTGCCGGTTCTCCGAGCTACTCAAAATTTCCGCTACCGGTTCTCCAGAACCTATCAGAACCTGCTGGATTTCACCCCTGGTCTTTACGAAGTGAGTAGACAACAGGAAAAGAGACTTCAGAGAGGAGATGCTATACGTAGTTATGTGTATGAGAGACAAAATAGATCTTATTCTCCTCTATTAAATGAAGAGGAAGAAACATGGACATGGTGGGAAAGAAAATACCAATCTCTGAAAACAGAAGTCCCCAATTTGGGTTTAATGCTTTAAAATGTTAGGCCTATTTGTGCCATAGTTTATCTGGAATGAGCTCCCCCCCAGAGATACGGAGGATCCCGGATCTGCACACGTTTCGTCGTGCTCTCAAAACTTTTTTATTTCAGCAGGCTGGCCTGGCCTAACTCTCCTCTTTTAAATTTATAATTCGTTTGATCTTATAACTTGGGTGTTTTAATCTGTGTTTTGGCCAAAATATTTAATAATTTTAAGAGATTTTTAATATTTGTATTATCTGTATTTTATCTTGGCTGTTCACCGCCCTGAGTCCTTCGGGAGTAGGGCGGTATAGAAATTTGATAGATAAATAAATAAATAAATAAATAAATAAATAAATAAATAAATAAATAATAAATCTTAATCCAGATTTCATCACTGATCATTCCTTACAGAAAATATAGTAGCAAGCGGTGGTTGAGTCACATCATATCTGTGTCTGTAAATATACATGGTATCTGAGTGATCTAATTTCTCTCGGTCCTGGAAAAATAATCTTTTCCAATGAGAAGTATCTGATTCCCTCCATATTATTGCTAATCAATGGAGCTGATTCTTCCAGTCAACAAGAGAGAGCCAATTTGCTGCTGCGTCCATGAACAGCTGTCAAGTGAGACCATCGTGTGTGTGTGTTTATGGACCACTACCCAACAAGGTCCTCAGAAATGAACAGTTCCCAGAGTGATAAAACTGTTATTGGATTGTGCAGTTTCAGGGTATGATGGAGTGAGGTCGAGGACTGCACGATTAAAAAAAGAAAAAGAAAGAAATCTGTGCATAGATTGCTAATTAAACTAATTAGTTTAGAACTCTTCTCCCTAACTCTAGTTTTTTCTTGACTGCAAAATTGATTAATCTACTGGTGAGTTGATAAATATAACATGTAATTATTGCAGGATGAACTGGACTTTCTGGAACAGGCCTTTCCTTCCTTCCTTCCTTCCTTCCTTCCTTCCTTCCTTCCTTCCTTCCTTCCTTCCTTCCTCCTCCTCCTCCTCCTCCTCCTCCTTCCAAAGCATCAGAGGGCAGGCAAGAAACAGTGGTTGGAAACTAATCAAAGAGAAAAGCAACCTGGAATTCAGGAGAAACTTCCTATCAGTGAGGACAATTAACCAGTGGAACAGAAGTTGCCTTCAGAAATCATGGCACTTCATCACTGGAGGCTTTTAAGAAGCCATTTGTCTGAAATGGTACACGGTCTCCTGCCAGAGAAGCAGGCTGGATTAGAAGACCTGAAAAGTCCCTATTCTATTCTATTCTATTCTATTCTATTCTATTCTATTCTATTCTTCCTTCCATCCATCTATTATCCATCCATCCATCCATCCATCCATCCATCCATCCATTTTCTCTCTCTCCTCATCCATCCATCATCTATCTATCTATCTATCTATCTATCTATCTATCTATCTATCTATCTATCTATCTATCTATCATTATCCATCTATCATCTATCTATCTATCTATCTATCTATCTATCTATCTATCTATCTATCATCTAATCTATCTATATCTATCTATCTATCTCTATCTATCTATCATCTACCTATCATCTATCTATCTATCTATCTATCTATCTATCTATCTATCTATCCATCCATCCATCCATCCATCCATCCATCTATCTATCTATCTATCTATCTATCTATCTATCTATCTATCTATCATCTCTCTCTATCATTATCCTCCATCCATCTATCTTATCATTATCCATCTATCATCTATCTATCTATCTATCTATCTATCTATCTATCTATCTATCTATCCATCCATCCATCCATCCATCCATCCATCCATCCATCTATCTATCTATCTATCTATCTATCTATCTATCTATCTATCATCTCTCTCTATCATTATCCATCTATCATCCATCATGCATCCATCCATCTATCCATCCATCCATCCATCTATCTATCATTATCCATCTATCATCTCTCTCTCTGTCTCTCTCTCTCTATCTATCTCTATCTATCTATCTATCTATCTATCTATCTATCTATCTATCTATCTATCATCTCTCTATCTATCTATCATTATCCATCTATCATCCATCCATCCATCATCCATCCATCCATCCATCTATCTATCTATCTATCTATCTATCTATCTATCTATCTATCTATCTATCATCTCTCTATCTATCTATCATTATCCATCTATCATCCATCATCTATCTATCTATCTATCTATCTATCTTTATCTATCTATCTATCTATCATCTATCTATCTATCTATCTATCTATCTATATCTATCTATCATCTCTCTCTCTATCATTATCCATCTATCATCCATCCATGCATCCATCCATGCATCCATCCATCTATCCATCCATCCATCCATCCATCCATCCATCCATCCATCCATCTATCTTATCATTATCCATCTATCATCTATCTATCTATCTATCTATCTATCTATCTATCTATCCATCCATCCATCCATCCATCCATCCATCCATCTATCTATCTATCTATCTATCTATCTATCTATCTATCTATCTATCATCTCTCTCTATCATTATCCATCTATCATCCATCCATGCATCCATCCATGCATCCATCCATCTATCCATCCATCCATCCATCTATCTATCATTATCCATCTATCATCTCTCTCTCTGTCTCTCTCTCTCTATCTATCTCTATCTATCTATCTATCTATCTATCTATCTATCTATCTATCTATCTCTATCATCTCTCTATCTATCTATCATTATCCATCTATCATCCATCCATCCATCCATCTATCTATCTATCTATTCTATCTATCTATCTATCTATCTATCTATCTATCTATCTATCATCTCTCTATCTATCTATCATTATCCATCTATCATCCATCCATCCATCCATCTATCTATCTATCTATCTATCTATCTATCTATCTATCTATCTATCTATCTACCTACCTACCTACCTACCTACCTACCTACCTACCTACCTAATATTTGGAAAAAAATAATCTGCAGGAGAAAACGGTGATGTTCTATGAGAGACTGAAGGGGAAAGAGTTCACCGGAACATAGCTTTTCTATCACAAGAGATTTGTTTATTAATTATCTTTGCTTCTGGAATTTTTTTTAAAAATGTTTTTTTTAAAAAAAATTAACTGGTTCCATGACCTGGGAAATTTGGAAGCTCTCTGGTTTAGAGAACATGTGAGAATGTATCCATTGTTAAGATGCAAAGAGATGGAACCTACAACAGTCATTCAATCTTGCCTTATTAGAGCATTTAAGAGGAAGCGCCTTGTGCCCGATTGCAAAGCACTTCTTTGTGTAAATCTTCCTTGTTTGTTTTAGCAGGTAATTTGTGGACCAGGATGGCTTTAATGGTATATAATAATATGCTGACATTTTCCAGGGAAATTTAAAAAGTAGGAATCTGAAGATTAAGCGGGAATTGTTTTTCTTTTTTTCCTTATTGGAATTATTAATCATGCCACCTCTAGGAAGTCTTGTTGCTCTGCAGGAGATTTGTCCAGTGTGCAACTAGATGTATTTTTTTTCCTTCTCTTTCACAGACAGACAATTTTCCTGCAGAGTCCAATTACATGGGTAGCAGGCAACAGTTTGTTCAAAGGTAAGGCCCTATTAAATAACTTTCTTGGCTTCCCCATTTGCATTCCTGTCAAAATTGTTTGCCAGAGACTACAATTCAAATCAGGGGCCAAGTAAATACAAGTTTGACATGTTTCTCTCTCTCTCTCTCTTTCTCTCTCTCTCTCCCTCCCTCCCTCCCTCCTCTTCTCTCTCCCCCTCTCTCCCCCTCTCATTCTCTCTCCTTGCTCCCTCTCCCTCTCCCCCTCTTCCTCTCTCCCTCTCCTCCTCTTTCTTTCCTCTCCCTCTCCCTCCTCCTCTCCCTCCTCGCTCCCCCTCTCCCTCTCCTCCTTTCCTCTCCTCCTCTGTCCTTCTCCCCCTCTCTCCATCCCTTCCTCCCCCTCTCTCTCCTCTCCCTCTCTCCCTTTCCCCCTCTCCCTCTCCTCTCTCTCCCCTCTCTCCCTCCCCCTCTCTTTCTCTCCCTTTCTCCCCCTCTCTCCCTCCCTCTCTCTCTCCGCCCCCTCTCTGCCTCCCACTCTCCTTTCTCTCTCTCCTCCCCCTCTCTCCCCTCTCTCCCTCCCCCTCTCTTTCTCTCTCCCTTTCTCCCCCTTTCTCCCTCTCCACTCTCTCTCCGTCCCCCTCTCCCTCCCTCTCCCGCTCTCCCTCTCTTTCTCTCTGCCTTTCTCTCCCCTCTCTCTCCTCCCTCTCCATCTCTCTCTCTCTTCCTCTTCATGTCCAAATGTCAGTAGCTCCACGTTCAAGGATCCCGAACGAGCCAGTTTGAGAGACAGTGGGCACGGGGATAGTGACCAAGCAGACAGTGACCAAGATACCAACAAAGGCTCGTGTTGTGACATGTCGGTGAGGGAGGCACTCAAGATGAAAACAACTTCAACCAAAAGCCAGCCGCTTGAACAAGGTGAGTGAAGAAACCACTGCTTGCCATGTCTTTCAGATGATCACCTTAGATGAGCTCAGCCTTCCAGAAAATATATCCAAGTTATTGGTGTGGTATGTGTGACTGTGCGTTGAGGTCTACACACAGAGATACCCATGGAAATCTGTGCCTTCGTTAGTGTATAATTATCACAAACATGCAATGGAACGAAGGGTGAATAGCCTATAACTGGGATGGCCTACCAGTGAGTGGCTTCTGTTGTGTATTTAGGAGGACATGTTTTTAATATGGCATAAGGACCTGTTATTCAAAAATTGCGAAGAGGAAAAACATGAACAGGACATGCATGCAAAACTCAGGTTTTTTTGGATCCTGGTATTTGTGTCTTTTGATGTTCTCTTATTTGGCAGAGTTTGTTCCAATTTTGCTTAGTATCTCGGGAAGAGTCAGGCTAACTTCACATGGCTAAGATGATGGTTTGATTTGTCTTGGGCTGTCCTTCCCAATGATAATCCACACACCTCAAGGTTCCTTTGAGTCAAAGATGAATGATTCTTAGTACTGGCTAGTTTAAGGGACGTGGTGGCTCAGTGGCTAAGATGCTGAGCTTCTCAATCAAAAGATTGGCAGTTCAGCGGTTCGAATCCCTAGTGCCGCATAATGGGGTGAGCTCCCATTACTTGTCCCAGCTTCTGCCAACCTAGCAGTTCGAAAGCAGGTAAAAAATGCAAGTAGAAAAATAGGCACCACCTTTGGTGGGAAGGTAACAGCGTTCCGTGCGCCTTTCGCGTTGAGTCATGCCGGCCACATGACCGCAGAGACATCTTCAGACAGCGCTGGCTCTTCGGCTTTGAAACGGAGATGAGCACCACCCCCTAGAGTCAGGAACGACTAGCACATATGTGCAAGGGGAACCTTTACCTTTACCTTACTGGCTAGTTTACTTATCTTGGAATAAGTAAAGTGAATCCGTTTTGCTCTTTTTACTTGTTATACTATCAAGAGGAGTGGCAGAGTCAAGATAAATATAATAAGAAAAAAGGTTTCCTGGATATAATTGATGTTCCCATAAATTGTAAAATAGTTCATTCTAAAATCAAAGTTGTGGACTTCTGCAACTTGTGTAAGTTGTAAAAGTGCATCCTTGAGTCAGGAACAGAGGTTAAGATCCAGGAGATTTAGACCTGACAAGTAATGGAAGATTCAGTCTTGCTTCTATGAAGTTTCTTGTATTTTTATGGTTTATTTAACTGGCACTCTTTCTATGTTCCATTATGATATTTTTATATATATTCTATTCTCACTGTTAGGTGTATGTGTTTTGGACAGGATTCTGGGCAATTTTCTAGAGACAGACACAGATCAGGCAGGATATTTATTTATTTATTTATTTATTTATTTATTTATTTATTTATTTATTTATTTATTTATTTATTACTTACTTACTTACTTACTTACTTACTTACTTACTTACTTACTTACTTACTTACTTATTTATTTGATAATATTTATATGCCGCCCTTCTCCCGAAGGACTCGGGGAGGCTCACAGCAATAAAACAAGACAATAAATAATGCTAAAAATCCAATTTAAAATCCCCAAATTAAAACTATAGCTCCCAAACAGATCAGAAGATTTGCTGAAAAAGCCATGTTTTCAGGTCACTGAGGAAAGAGGGGAGGTCAGGGGCGTCCGGAGCCCAGTGGGTAACTCGTTCCAGAGGGTCGGTGCGGCCAGAGAGAACGCCTTCATCCTGGGCGCCACCAGCCGACATTGTCTGGCTGATGGCACTCAGAGGAGGGCAGTCCTATGTGAGCACACTGGGCGGTGGGAGGCCGGTAGAAGGTGGTCCTGCAAGTACCCTGGACATTATCCAGGTCCTCTGAGCTTTACTGTTATCTGTGTCAATTCAGTCTACATGCATCAAGGTTGCCAACTATAGCATAGTGTAGCGTAGCGTAGCATAGCATAGCAAACTTTCCTCTCATCCAGCAAATTTTGCTCCTGGACATAGAAATGTAATTGACCTCCTAGAAATGTAATTGACCTCCAAGAAATGTAATTGACCTTCTAGACACCTTCCCTTCCAAGTCATCTTCCAAGCTATGCCAAGATTTCTGCAAAACTTCGGTTGAAAACCAACATGGTTCTGGTTTTCATAGTGGTCAGAATGAAGCATTGCAGGCCTACAGTCTGGAGTTCGATCCTGGACCGGCTCAAGGTGGATTCATCCTTCCATCCTTCTGAAGTTGGCAAAATGAGGACTCAGATTGTTAGGGAAAATATGCTGACTCTGTAAAACCACTTAAGAGAGGGGTGGGTTCTAAATTTTTTTTAAGCAGGGGTGGGTTCTAAATTTTTTACTACCGGTTCTGTGGGCGTGGCTTATTTTGTGGGTGTGGCTTGGAGGTCATGTGACTAGGTGGGTGTGGCTAGCTGGTCAGAGTCATTTCTGGAAGGTCCTCGCACTTACGACCAGTCCTTGCACTTACAACCCGACTCATTTGTTTGCTTTTAACACTGATCAGCTGTAGGGCGGCCCTTTGAAGCCGCACGACAAGAGTTTAAACAGTTTTTTTCTCTCTAGTCATCAGCTGGGACTCAGGAGGCAGCAATAGATGGGGGGTGGGACCAAATAAAAGGTAAGAATAACGTGGGTGGGGGGGTGGGAGGGCGGGGGGGAGAACCGGTTTGGTGACGTTATATAGTCACCGCTACCGGCTCGGCTGAACCGGACCGAACCGGGAGGAACCCACCACTGGCTGTAAGCCACTATGAAGCGGTATATACGTCTAGGTGCTATTGCTATTGTTTTTGCCCGGAACAATCTAAAACAAGGGCGTCAAACTTGATTTCATTGAGGGCTGCATCAGGGTTGTGTTTGACTTCAGGGCCCCCCTGGGGAGAGTGGCCAGCTCGACGTCACTTATGTTGGGGGGCACCTGTAAGGGCCTCAGCGCTCTGTCAGCTCCCGAGCTCCATTTTCGGCTGCAACGGCCACCTGCAACCCTCTGCCAGAGAAAATGGAGCTCAGGAGGGTGGCCCAAGCTCCATTTTCACTCGCAGAGGCACTGTGGGCCAATCCTTCACTGTTTCCAAGGTGGCCCCTTGGGCCAGATCTAAGCACCCTGTAAGCCAGATTCGGCCCGCAGGCTTTTGAGTTTGACACCCCTGGTCTAAAAGCATTGATGAAGCGATCTTAGATAAAGGATACATATACTCGGACGTCTTTTTAGTTCCTCAATCTATATCCAATGGAAAAATAATAATAATCGGTTCTGGAGATAAATCTGAAGTAGCTTGCAGAGGAACATGGGCTGTTCCAGCAGGCCTTCATTCAACCTTTCTTCAAAACCCATCTCTGATATTGATTGACGCTGCCTTTTACGAGCTTCAGTGCTGATTAATTTCCGAAGATACCGACCACTTCCTTTCCAATGCCAGCTAAATTAAGCGTACCAGCTGTGTCTGCCTATATCGCTGGGCGTGGGGTTGTGTGGGGTTGTGTGTTTCGCCTGTTATCTTCTGAGCAAAGATGGGGAAAACAGCTGAATGGGGGGTGGGTGGGGAGATTTGAGTTCACTTTTGCATCCCTGTTAGTCATTTCGGCTTGTTGTGTGCAGAATGAGTCACTGTCCTTAGAATGCTTTTATTTTTAAAAAAAATTGAATAATTAAGCCTTGCTTAATGAGAAGCTATATGTATAATTAAAGTAGAAATATATTTTAAGCTTTCTATTAATTGGTGATTAATTAGAACTAGAGGTTGGGGGTTTGTTTGGCCTTCAGCACAGCGAGAACTGTAGCACATTCATCAGCAAATGCACGTCTGGCTTCCTTTCCGTGATCATGTCAGGAATGCAATATGTAGAGTATTTAAGATGTTCCTTTGGCATTTGTTTTAGAGAGGTTGCAGAGACAATCACATTCTTTATTTCGTTTCCAAGTGATACATGCCAGAAAAGACATTCCCCCCCCCACTCCCGCCATCCTATCCCTGGCCCCTTTCACACAATGAATCTCTGTTTACAACTGGACAGAGATCTAGAAACATGCAAGATTATTTTTGGGTTTCCCTTTGAAAGATCTCTTCTAAAATACTGTAAAATGCAGGTAGTCCTCGACTTACGACGGTTCATTTAGCGACCATTCAAAGTTACAGAAGTGACTTAGGACCTTTTTTGCACACTTACAACCTTTGTAGCAGCCCCCATGATCAGAGGCTGCTGGAGCTGTTTGTGTGAGCGTTTCTGTTCTGACCTAGTCAGTAAAACACGTGAGTAGTCCCAAAAACCTCTTTTATTGAAACAGCTGTGAATTCTGCTCATTCACAGATGAGTCCCAAATGGTTGTAAAGAGTCCTTCGGGATAGTCACCCACCTTTATCTCCCTTGACACCCTGCCAAAGACCTAATTGGCAAAACCACATGGAATCCAGAATCAAACAGAGCTTCAGGCTTTAAACTGAACAGAATTAACAACGTTGCTTCCTGCAAAGGCCCACGTGCCTTTGCTCCTCTTTTAAATCTTATGGGAGGGGCCAATCATCTCCAAGCCTTACTCCTGAGTCGTCCCTTTTGTTTTAACTGTTCTTGCCTTCTGGCAGCTCTGCGCATGCACGCGCTGGAAACAGGCTTCCCCTGTTCCTCTGCCTCCCTAAGGTCAGGCTCCGTAGGCAGCACGTACCTCCCAAATGGCCCTTTCTCTGCCTCCGACACAGAGCCCTCATCCGAGCCTTCCCCAGACTCCAGGACTGGCCCATGTTCCTCCCCAGCCTCCTCATTGTCCGACTCTGCTGCCAAGTCCTCAGGCCGCCAGTGGGCCACAACAGTTTTGCTCTGGGACTTTACATAAACATCGGAGTGTTTGGAGAAAAAGTTGGAGCAATACAGAGGAGTTTGAACTATCAGCTGGCTGTGTTGCTTCCTTGCCTTGTTCCGGATCATCATAATAGCTACCACTTTGATGGAAACTTAACAGAGCTCTGTGACATCATGCTGGCCACTGACCATGGAAATGGTC